TATCAAGCTAGAAGGGCAAACATATTTGAGGTATTTATGTTACTGGTTTTACAAAATAATCTTTACCCCCAGAAGCTATGGGCCAAAGAGACAGCAAGGAAATCAGTTGGCAGGGTAATCAGTAATATGCACAAAAAGTAATGTGGAGTCAGATTGAACATTACACCAAACAAAAAATTTCAGAACATTGACTGATGTTCCAGTCTCCAGCTCTCCAGCTCTCTATCACTCATCAGGTTTGCTTCCATTTAGTACTCCCCTCAAACAGTCTACTCTTTGAAAATGCAACTTTGCATTATTTTTCAAAGAAAGGAGAGTCTCTTAGGAAGGCAAATCCCATATCTGTTTGCTGTTCTTGCATCAATGAATCTATCAAAAGCCACATTCTTTCTTCCCATCTCAAAGTGGAAGTGACTTTAGTTCCATTCTTCACAGGTGATTCTCCTACAAATATTTGTAATTCCCACCTCTTCAAAAATATCGCTTCCCTCTGCCTTTTGTGTCTCTAAACTTACCCTTGCCATAAACCCTTATTTCTCTTACAACTAGGCCCTTCCACACCACCAACTCTTTAACTTTATACCTTCTTCCTCACCCCTGTGACTCATGGCGGCAGGCTTCATTAAAAAATTCCTCTTCCTTGCCTCCCATTTGTTTCAAAATGAAACTAGCTTTCTAGAGTCACAAATTTATCAAATAATTCTTATCAAGTTCAATGAATGTATTCATGTGTTATTTGTATCTTTATCTTTTATTTCTTAGCATGATATGATGCTTATATTTCACATTCTTCTTTCTAGAAATAAATGAAGTACATATTTTACTGAGTTTTAATAAGCTTTTGTCATATCCTATGGTCTATCTAATATGAAATTCAATTTCTTTGCAAGAACATTAGAAATTCAGTTGACTGATTAAAAATCAAATGCCTAGAGGATTGCTGAAGTGATCATATTATTGTCAATAGCCAGATAGTGTATCATGTACAATATCTGATACAACATCCTTAAAGAAAGGATAACACATAATAGCTTTCATTTATTTTTTCTTCAACCAATTTTGATAGAATATTTAACTAACAATAAATTATAACAATTCGGCATACAACTTCTAAGAAACCTCTTAATGCTTTCGCCCTCCTATCATTAACATTCTTGTATCATTTCTTCCCCTTGAGTGTGGGTTGCAATTACTAACTCAGTTATAATAAATACAGTAAGGCAGAGTTATTGGATGTTGCTTCAGAGATCAGGTTATAAAAAGCTTTAGGCATGTGTTTTCTGTTTCTCCTACATTTCTTGCTTTGGAGGAAGCCTGCTGCCATGCCATGAGACCATCCTAGAGAGACATCCATGTGGGAATGAATTGGGAGAGGCCTCAGACCAACAGCCGGCAAGAAATCAATATCCTTATTGCAACAATTATGAGGGAAAGAGCCTACCAGAAAAACACGTGAGCGGGCGTGGAAGTGTATTCTCTCCAGGTCAGATGTTCCAATAGACCCAGGCCTGCCTGACAGCTGGCTTGTCTGCAACCTCGTGAGAGGCCCCCAGGCACCCGGCTCAACCATGCCTATATTCCTGACCCACAGAAACTAGGATAATAAATGTTTATTGCTCTAAGGTGCAGAGATTGAGGGGAACTGTTACGCAGCAATAAATAATACACATATTTGACTTTATTTCAAAGAGAAATCTCTTTTCTAAGTAATGTATAAATGATCATCAATTTTTGTATTATTAAAAAATGATGAATTTTCTCAATGGTATACTGTTAGTCACAGTAAAACAACAAGTTATTTATTGTCACTCAAGAAGTAACAATTTTGATTATGCTACTAGAAATTCGGGACAAATCATTTTTGGATATGAATTTCCCAAAGAATCAATAAGACTAATATTTTAATTTGTAAAACCAGTGGCTCTAAACGCCCCAGGTTTACAGATGAATAAGTATCTTGGCATATTTGGAGAGAGGGAAGCTTTTGGCTACACAGTGTCTCCCTCACCCAGTGCTCATTGATTAGTCAATGTCTAGGACAGGTACATTTCCCTTGATTTTAGTGAGAAGAAGGACTGTGTCCTGCTGAAAGGGACCCAAGTGCCCTGATATATGCAATGTCTGATTGAGCACAGAAATGTCACAGGAATCAACGTGTAAAATGTTTGGGAACAAGGAAAAACTAAAGAACCGCCTTCTTCCAGAAATCAACTGAACATCCACTGACAATAAAGAGAATAAGAATAACAATTGTGATGTTAAAAATATATTAAAATTACCTTGGGATAAAGTATAAATATGCAGTAATTTTGAGAGGATATCCACTTATAAATAGGTAAATAAAACTTTTACTCATTAAAGTAATTCAAAATATTGATCTTGTTTTTTTTAATTTAAAAACTAATTTAAAATATGCCCCTGCTGAGGTAAATCAGAAGAAGGGAGAGTCCATGAAGTATATTCAAAATAGTACATAAAATATATGTGTTCCACTAAAAAGAAAAAAATAGAGCTGAGCTAACCCTACTCTTGAAACAAGACACAAATCTTGAAATAAATAGGGTGTTGTGGCAAGTGTGGAGAGGTTGTCTCCCTTCACAGGACAGGCTGCAGTGAACGCATGGCTACTCTCATGGCTTTCTGACTGCTTTTCTAGTTTATGTTCTGTTCTCAGGGATGTTACCCACTCCTATCCGATTTGTTTTCCCAATTCAAAGACCTCATCATGTTTCTTGTCTGGACAAAATCTGTAAGATCCCTCCCATCTACTGAATCAGCTAAACTTTCCTGACACCATTAAGTCTCCCTCACAGGATGGAAGCAGTCAAAGTCTGTACCTGGCTCCCCAGACTGGTTTTATGGCTTTGCTACTTATTGGCTATGGTAAGTTTGATGGATGTGGTAATTAAAATGGTACATGCTTTGGTTTTCTTTTCCACAAAACAGAATAATGATTTTTATGAGCACAAATATTTATTGTGAAAATTAAGAGAAATAATTCATGATGTGTTAGGCGTAAGTGTCCTGGTCCATGATGAGTACTCCATAAGCATTAGCTAATACTATATTATTGGTTGTTATTGTTGCTGTTTGAGATTCAAAGTAACATAAGATCAAATGTCTACTATGTGATAGAAGGAGAGTGATAGAATAATTTATATGTGTCATTACATATGTGTGTTATCCATTTAACTTGAACAACACATTTCTGAAATAGGAATTGTTATTCCTTCTTCACAGGTGAGGATACAAAGATCCAGACATGTTCAATGACTTCTCTACGTGTAACTGAGTGCTACAGGTAAGCTCCAGTCCAGGTGTCCTGACTTTGTGTTGAGGATACTTTTACTGCACGAGGGGTGCCCTTTTAGGTTGTCCCCTAGTGCACTACTGGGAAGAAAACTGCTTAATAGTGCTGGCTGTGAGTTTGAATCCCAGTTGCTTGCAATTCATACAAACTCTCCCAGGTTCAGTTTTTCCCTGCTGTAAAAGATGGACAGTGATGTTCATTTTTATAAAAGTTTTAAGAGGATTACCTCATTTAGTAGAGTAGGTAGTGTATAACCATGTCCATGACTGTATAAGTTTAAAAAAATATACCTACAGTGTCCTGCAAAAGTAACACCTGCTTGAGTGTGGTTGGTAGAGTAATCATATGGGTGCAATAATTTATAGTTTGAATTTGAACATTTCACCTAAAATGTCATATGGTGTGCTTGAGTGTGATATTTTTATGTTACAGAATTACTTGCTTATGATTTTGTAATAAAAATAGTTTGTAATAAAAAGGGGACATTCTTGGTGCCAGACTCTGTATTTTATTATTAGTTTTATTAACTTATATTGACACAATATCATGCCCTCCTAATTTCTCATACTTTACATCCTCATTACCAGTGTCTTAATTTTCTGTGTTCATCTCTATCTGTTGAAAATGTACCTGTCCTTTGTAGAGATGTTTTCTTATATCCCAAAGCATTGCCTTATTCTTTAACCATGTGCAGATCAACAATCCCTCTCTAAGTTATGTTGCTCTAGATATGCTTTACCACTGAGAATTTTCCTTATTTTAGAAAGCTGCAAGAGTACATCTCATGTTATGTGATATCGCCTGGAAGGATCTCAAATAGAATCTGTAATTAATCATAACAATATTTTTGCTGCAAAGAGTACAAATGTCCACACTCATGAGGCTAAATAAAGACTATATAAACAGTCCAGGTGATATTCTAACACATGCACAGCCAGCTTGCAGACATTGCCAAATAATTACATTAAAAGTAATTTTGTTCAGTTTTTTAAATTTTAGGATTGCACATAAAGAATTGTAAACTTGTGTGATTTCCTCTGCCTCTCACCCGACCACAGTTTTGTTGGATTCTTTCTCACAGTTCTTGGTTTCCACGTAGCACAATGGTGTATTTACTCATCTTACCCTCCATTATTCACAAGGCCTACAGGAACAGAATGTGTATCTTCATCTTTGTATGCCCTTCAGGACCGAGGATGTCAATAACTCAAACTAGGTGTGTTGCGTACACTTTATAAAAACCGCACCAGTATTCTGAATGTGTACATGGTGCTAAAGTACTGTCTTCCACAAATGACAGTACTCTTTTTTCCTATTCATTAATATACATTGAGTGATAATTCAAGCAAGTTTTTCAAAAGAAGCAATATAAATTGTACTGGTTTTAAATTTCATAAGAAGAGCTCATGAATAATGAGCTCTTTAATGTATTGATGGTCTGCCTGAATTAGGATTCCAGAAAAGGTAGGTAATGTTTCAAAATTTCAAATTCTAATCTAAATTGGGGAAATTAAGACATGATGCGGGATCATTCTTAGCACCTTATTTTTTAATTTATGGGTAAGTTACTTAAAGTCAATGATGATATTCTGGGAGTAAAATTGATTTAATTCTATGTGTTCATGAACACGTTCCTTCCTAGAGATGACATGCTTTAGAAGAAGAAACATGGACATTCTTGCCATCTCACCTATATGTTGTCCATACATGTGATAAAAGAAGCTGAAACAATACGCAGTGTTCGTGGGTCCGTAAGGGTTCTTGGGAGCTATGCTAAACACAGGGCTGAGAAGTCGCGCTTTTTCACCTTCCAGTCTTGGTCGAGACGTCTCAATGTACATATAAAAACCTTTGAAAAGGCACAATAAAATGTTTAAGCATATTATTATTATTATTATTATTATAGAGCATGAAATTTGAAATAATTGATGTTTTAGAGTTTTTGAACAAGTACAGATTGATAGATTTGCATTCATTTATGAAATCTGTATAATATAAAGAATAAATGATTTATATAATTAAAGGTAACACTGTTTAAATTTTATATAAATTTAAGACAAAAATTATAATTTTACACTTAAATTAAAAAAAATCCTAGTCAATGAGTTCTGAGAGAAAATTAGTGTCTGCCAATCTTTAAAAAGTGTGAATTACTGATACTGTACATACAATTTTAATATTTTATTCCACAATCTTCAAATCTACAGCTAAATATTCTCTTGCATTTCACGATAGTCACATCTCTAACATTCCAAGGATGGAGTACAGTTGGTACGAACACACTTCACACCCTCATACCTTCTTTGGAGCCACTACGGTCAGCATTAGGTCCTGTGTTTGGGGTATATTTTGTATTTCTTGTTGCAGTACTTTGCTTTGTCCAGTCAAAATTATCTGTATCATCTTGAGTGAACAAACAAATGTTACCATCTTCGAATCCACAATGAAATTCTCCTGTTAACAAAATTTAATTAATGTGGTTATCATTAATTAAATGAATACAAACTGCAATATTCTTCCAGGAGAAATTTAAATCATTAAGCAATAACAATGCAAGATTGTAATAATAGAATCAGATGCATAATTGTGTATCATATTACCACTAAATGTAAAATGATTTCATTTTAATGAAAAAAATAATAATATATAAATCAGTCACTTATTAAATAATCCAAACCATTTTCCTCTGAAATATCCAGATAACTAAAATTAAAGACTATAATTCACCCTTGAATTGTGGTTAAAGAAATTTCACAACTTTCATTTTTCAGGATAGGAACAACTCAACCTAAGCTGCCAATTAAAAAAATTATCTTTTAAAATTTACCTGGAAGCATGTGAACGCTGTATATCTCGAGGTTATAATTTTTCCTGTCATGTCTGGAAATGCTTTTGTGTATGGCCATTTGCACAAATGGAAGTTTACTTAGGGGAAGCTAATGAAAAATTATTTTAAAAAGTAGTTATCTTCCATATTTGAATATGAATTTGCCAGATGTTTGAAATTAAAAATGAAGTAATGAAAAGACTTTATGAAGACCAGGTGGAAGGACTGAGATTGATTTTGGATGCCTGCCATATGCTACTTTCAGGCCCAACCAGTTCAGAGGAGAGCTTTCTTCAATTGTCTCTGAACAGAGGGTGGTAGTAACATTTCTAGGTTTCTGAGTGTTTTCTTACTGAGATGTGCCTGTTTGAAATACAGTAGTAAATAAGGATGATGATGTCCACTAGATAATTAAAATTATCCTTAATTAAGAAAAATTTGAGATAGTTTATATTGTTTCACTCAAACTCATTACAACTCTATGAAATCAAAGTAATACTAATTTGTGAGGCTCACAGAGAAAACTTTGGCTGAGTCCAGCTATTAAAAAATAAAGTCAAAACTGCAGATTTCATGGAATTCATAGAGATATAAACATCTAAAGAACAGAGACTCACATTTGTTTTTTCCCTCTCTGCTATGGGTTAGACTTATCACATTATCTTTGGGAGTGGAATCCTTGCAGTTGGGATAATGCTCTTTGTTTCTATATACTACAAGTGAACTATCCTAAAGGGGGTTAAGAAAACAATACCATTTACAATAGCATAAAAAGAATTAAATAGTTAAGAATGAACTTAACCAAAGAAATAAAAGACCTATATATTGAAAACTATAAAGCTAATAAAAAATAAAAAGACACACGTAAATAAAAGGACAACCCATGTTCTTGGATTGGAAGAATTAATATTGTTAATATACCCATATTATCCAAAGTGATGTACAGACTAACACAATCTTTATAAAAATATCAATAGCATTTTATATAGAAATAGAAAAATTTTCTAAGTTATGTAAAACCACAAAAGATCCCAAATTAACAACACAGAAGTATGAGCAAGAAGAACAAAACTGGAGGTATCACTTACTGATTCAAGGTTATAAAGTTATCAGAAAAGTTTGGTACTTGTACCGTTTGGCAGGAAAGTAAATTGCTACATCTATGATGAAAAAAGTGTAGAGGTTCCTAAAAAAAAACCTAAATATAGAACTACCATATGATCCAGTAATCTATCTTATAATTCTACAGCCAAAGGAAATTAAATCAGTACCTCAAAAGAGATATGCACTCATGTGTTCGCTGCAGTATTATTCACAGTAGCCAAGATATAGAAACAACCTAAGCATTTATCTATAATTTAATAGATAAAATTTTTGTGGCAGACATATACAGTCGAATATTTTTAAGCCTAAAGAATTAAAGCTATCCCACCATTTGCAATAAAATGGATGAAACCAGAGGACATTATACTAAGTGAAAGTGCCAGACACAGAAAGGAAAAACTGTATGATATCACTTACATGTAGAATCTTGTAAAAGTCAAATACATAGAAGCAGAAAGTATTTAGAGTGAAGGTTGTCAGAGGCTGAAGAGATTTGGAAATGGGGAAATGTTGATCAAAGGGTATAAACTGGAGTTATGCAAGATGGGTCAGTCCTAGAGATCTGTACAGTGTTGTTCCTGTATTTAACAATACAGTATTGTACACTTAAACATTTATAAAGAAGGTAAGTCCTATGTTAACTCTTCTTGTAATAATTAAAAGAGAGAGAGAGGAGAAGGAAGGAAAAGAAACAATTGGCATTTACAGAACAAAGTCAAATAGAAAGCTTTCCATTTGAGTTTAAGGAATTAGTTTCTGTTTTTGCCTCTGTTTTTAGATTAAAGAATCACCGTACTTCGTTCATTGTGTTTATTTATATTGTATATTCTGAGTAAGATGGTTTATAGGGAATACAAGCATTTAGGAGTTTGTAACTCAGTACATCTTTGGATAAACAATATTCCACATAAAATATTTACTAACATATGTTTATGCCACAAAATCTTATACTAAACAAGACATGACCTCTCGATGCTCCCAGTTGAAGATCTAATGCTGGTGACAGAAGTTAGTTATATATTTGTGGACAGATATCTTTCAGGCACAGTGTGAGATTCCTTTAGTTGCTACTTTGGAATCATAATAAGGCAAATGTTTGATTTTAAATGTTTTCATTTAATTAGATATTATACACACTAACAAAATGTGGAAAATGTACCAATTGAGGATTTCAGCTTGTTAAGTAACTGCCAAACTTATTTTTTGGATATTGTTGAAAATTGTGTATAATAAATTTTGTAGTAATACTTTAACATATATTTTGTATAACATAATTTAGCTTTATTTACAAAGAAAAAATATTCTCTGGCTGGTGTGGCTCAGTGGATTGAGTGCCGGCCTGAAAACCAGTCACTGGTTCGAGTCCTAGCCAGGTCACATGACTGGGTTGCAGGCCAGGCCCCCAATAGGGGGTGTGCAAGAGGTAACCACTCATTGATGTTTCTCTCCCTATCTTTCTCCTTCCTTTCTCCTCTCTCTAATAAATAAATAAATAAATAAACAAATAAATAAATAAAATTTTTAAAAGAAAAAATACGTGCCTTTAAGAACAAATTTTTGGAGACTAAGTCTCTCATAGTAATATTAAGCTACAGTACAGCTTATGAAAAGTTAAGACATGCCTATAATTTCACATATGCCTAAAATTTTTCATAATTTAGTTTATTTTATATGTGACCTAAGCTATTCAGAATAAATTTGAAGGGGATATAAGACAAGAACAATTAATCAGACTAAAATACATAAATAATCTCAATTGTTCATTGCTTCTGTGAACATATATTTTTATGGTGAAAAACCTATTACTAGAGAAATTTTTTGAAAAGTTAGCAGATAGATTTTTTTAAAAAACGCTATTTGCAGCCATCATAACTTTATGATTATCCTGTCAATTTATATTAGGTAACTATATACATTTACAAAAAGTCTAAAATATTTTTTAATAAAAATATTTACTGATACAAGGAATATCTTCATAGATAATGAAAATGCTCTCATCTGTAAAATTTTACCAAAAGTCAATGTAATTTAAATATTAAAAGATTTCAAAAAATAGAAAAGTAATAAAGTTTATGATTTTCACTAAGGTACAAAACTGAAGAATCACTTCGTCTTGGATTTTTAGTAGTTTTCCAATTACCGTATGATTTTTGGCAGACTTTCAGGGACCATGTGGTAATAAATAAATATATTTGAAGTATTTGCCATTATATGGTATCTAAGACTGTGCTTTCCTTCCCTGAGTCAATCCCAATGTGGAGAAGAAAGAATCAGAACTCGGGGACAAGTAGCCTGATGCCCAATAGTCCTCTCTGGCCCCGTGGCCTTTTTGTCCCATCTCACCTCTTTATGTATTTTTTTTTATTTTATACTTTTCAGGTTTACTGAGGTATACTTGACTAATAAAAATTGTATACATTAAGTTGTACAACTTGATGTTTCTATATGAATATACATTTTGAAACGATTACCGTAATCAAGTGAATTATGTATCTATCATTCACCACATCATCACAGCTACCATTCATTACCTTTCTTTTATTTTTCCTGTATGGTCAGAATGCTCACAATTAGCCTATTGGAAAATTTCAAGTATACAGTACAGTATTGTTAAGTATAGTCACCACGCTGTACATTAACTCTTCAGAACTAACTTGTCTTACATAACTGAAAGTGGCTACTGATCAACCGACATCTTCCCATCCTCCTCCCTTGTTGGAAACGACCATTCTACTCTCAGCATCTGAGTTTGACTATTTTAGATTTCACATATAAATCAGATGATGCAGTATTTGTTCTTCTGTGTCTGGCTTATTTCACTTAGCATAATGAGCCAGGTTTACCCATGCTGTTTCGAATGACAGGATAACCTGCTGAATAATGTTCCCTTGAATACATATCCTGTACTTTCTTTATCCATCCATGGACATTTCCATAGTTTTAGTATCTTGGCTCTTGTGAATACTGCTTCAATAAACTTGGCATTACATGAACCTCTTAAAGACTGATACTTCATTTCCTTTGGATTTATAACAAAAAGTTGGATTGTAAGATCATATGGTAGTTCTATTTTTTAATTCTTTGAGGAACCTCCTACTATTTTTCTTCAATGGCTGTAAGAGTTTACATGCCTGCCAATAATGTGATGGTTAATTGGAGAGACTGTACTTTCCCCATTGCATATTCTTGACATCCTCTACAAAAGCCGGTTGCCCATAAATTTATGAATTGATTTCTGGCATTGTTTTTTCTGTTCCATTGGTCTAAATACCAATTTTTATACCAATAAATTACTCCCTTGATTATTATGACTCTGTAACATATTTTAAAATGAAAGTGTAATGCCTCCAGTTTTGTTCTTCTTGCTCAAGATTCTATTTGCTATTTAGGATCTCTTGTGGTCCCATATGAACTTAAGTATTGTTTTGCTATTTCTATAAAGAATTCAACTGATATTATGCTAGTAATTGATTTGAATCTGTAGATCATTTTCTGTAGCACTGACATTCTAATGATGTTAATT